GTCAGGAAATGCCGCACTTTATTTTATTATTTACATCCGATCTACGATAAAAAGATGAACAAAAAGGAATTTTGTGTCCAGATCGTCCAGAGTCTGGAGAATGTGTGGAACGAGAACATTTTATTCGACTTCGCTGTTAAAGTTCAGGATGAAACCATCCAATGTCATCGTCTTATCCTAGCGGCGTGTTCAGAATTTTTTAAGGCATGTTTTCGTTCTGGGATGAGAGAGGTCACAGAAAACTGTCTAGTCCTAAAAGATGTTTCGTGTGAAACTTTCCGCTTAATCATCAATACTATTTACACTGGAACAAGTCTGTTGACTGCAGAAAATTTTATTGAAGTGTGGCGAGCAGCACATATGCTACAGGTTAAAGTTATGGTTAATGTTTGTGAGGAGTTTGCTATCAGATCATGTTCATTGGACACCTGGGAAAACATTTATCTACATGCAAAGCTTTTCGGTTCAGATAAAGTTCTAGATAAACTCCACACATTCATGTTGAAAAACTTTGAAAAAATTAGATTTTCAACAACATTTGTACAGCTTTCTTTCAAGGAAGTTCAAAATTTGATTAAAAGCCAAGATCTCGTTGTCAGTAAAGAAGATTTAGTTCTTGAATCTGTGATACGATGGGTTGAATATGTTGACGGAAATCAGCTAAATCAGATTTTAAATGAGGATCATAACCATACAATCAGCTGTAACGACGTAAAGACTGATATCAATTTATCCAGTGATGAAGCGAAGGAAATTAAAGAAAGTGAGGATGGACTTCATCGTAATAATTGCTTAACCAATTCTAATAAGACAATAGGTAGAGGAATGCATGAAGTAGACACTGCTCATTCAATTGATCCTGTAAACTCTTCAAGAAAAGATAAATTTATAGAACTGTTAATGCATGTCAGAACCTGCCTTGTCAGTCACGCTTTCTTATTTCGAGTTCTTAAAATGAGACTGTTTACTGAAATTAAAAATTCTAGAGAATTGATTCTTGACGCCATGTCATATCAGATCCAAGAGTTTAGACACGGTCAGTGGTCGTCAGCGGCTATACACAGATCTTGTAGTGAGTACACAAATGCTGGAGTTTATGTATATGGTAGTGGGATTTTTAAATTAATAACCGCTGACAAAGAACACCAGTTTACAATTACACAATGCAAATGTTTAAAAAAGAACTTTCAACTCGTCACTTTTGATGGTGAACTTTATGCTACAGGAACTGAAGAACAAAACCCAGACTGTCGAATGTTTGTGTTCTCTGACAAAAGCTGGAAAAAAGTCATGGAAATGCCAAGTCACAATTTGTTATTAGTTTCACACGGAGATTTTATCTACATCATAAACAAAGACGATAAAGTTATATATAACATCAATCCAAAAAAGAGGGAACCAAATTTGGAAAAATTTACAGATCTTCCTTCAAATGATGTTGATGTAAAACATGCAATGATTCTGGAAAATTTTCTTTTGTTATTTTGTTCTGAATCGGTTAACGGTATAGAGAAAACGGCCGTTCATAAATTTGAGATTTTGTCTAAAGTTTGGACCAGATTAGACAATCTTGATGGACCAGCTGAACAGCTGATTAGTTTTAAAAATGACAAGCACAACTACATTTTACAGACAAATGGCAGTTTGTGGCTGGTAGATTACACATCTGGCACCGGTAGTATTGAATTTAAATTTCTTACCAAACTTTGGAATTTTACAAAGAAGCTTTATGGTGCGTTAACCTTTCAAAATAAACTAATAATTTTGGGAAACTACTACCGAAGTGACCCGCCTAATGGAAAAAAAACATATGAGCTACCTGAGCACTTTACGAGAATAATATATTGGGGAAATGACTCGTGCAAATCAAGTTTTGTTCCTATCACAATAACAAAAAATGGGTTTTCCCCTTAATCAAGCTTTATCAAGAATTTACCACTCAAAAACAAATTCCATCTTTTTAAAACAACGTTTAAAATTCTATATTAGATCATCCTCTAACGCATAACTTTAGGTGTTTATGATATTATTTTATATACGATATGCAAGCAAAAACATATATTTGCATAGACATTTTATGAATATTTTAAAATATACCCAACACATGTAAACTGTCTAAAAGTTAATAAATAAAATAACATATTTTATGGTAACCAAGAGTTTCTTGTTGTTGTTGCGTTTAGTCTGGTATTTAATTAATCTCCAAAACGACTAGAAAATTAGTGTGTGCTTATGCGTGTGTTTTGTTTGTTTTGTGTGTTGTGGAGGGCCGTTATTGGACATTCTCAATATTATGATACGATGTATAATATAGTGATACAAATTTGGGGCATTGGCTGGAAGCGATTCTAATCTGTTAAATTCTTTGATTTCAAATTTGATTAGCAAGACACCCACGCATGCATGCGCGTTAACATAAACAAGTACACATACACACACTTCTTAATCAAGGTGAAGAACCTAGGCAGTGATCAAGTCTAAGTGAGGAAGACGCACCCCACTCATATCTCTTCTCTCCACACAGCCCCTGGGCCCACGGGGAGGTTTACATTTACTGTCTGGCTTTAGCTGTATCGCTGCTCCTCCCATACTATCTGATTGATACAGTTTTATGTTAGCCATAGGCTATTTCAAAATATTGAGATAATATCGCTGAACACAATTGTTGGTACTCTATCGTTATTAAGGCCTGGGTAGTTGTCCATTTTCTGTCATCAAGAACACTACTTACGCTCGCAAGAGAGTTGCGATTAAAACATTATCCATAAGCAACTCGTAACTTACTAATGCATTCTTGAAAACGTAATTTTATCAACTGACGGTTGTGTAAAGCCCGGTGTTACGTTCCTTACAAGTAGCGTCCCCTGATTGTGTGTTGTGTGCTCGAGTCACAGGTACCTACTTTTTGTACAGAGTTGTAGCCCTTGGTTGAGTGTGTTAACATGGAGCCAGAAGTGTTAACGTGACGTGTGACAGTTGACGGGTGTCGGAACGTGTGCTAGGGAGGGTCGCAGTTGGGTGGCGTGTGTCAATGAGAGATGGCATGGACAAGTGTGTCAAGTACTGTGTATCGTAGATTGTATCCTAAACTTTAATTCATTATATATATATATATATATATATATATATATATATATATATATATATATATATATATATATATATAAACTCGTTTAGTATCATCATTCGTGTTAGCAAGTCTGTTTTATCATGCAGTACACGTATGTTGTCCTGCATACCCTAGACAGGAGAACACAACACACTAAACAGCTACATCTATCCGACCGAGAGTTAACGTTCTCTAAATTTCTGTTCTTAGGTTTTATTTTTACTAGCCCTGCAGCAAACCTCACTTTTTTTCAAAAGGCCTTGCACCCACTCAAAGTTTGGTAACCAATTGATACCTCATAACCTTTATGACAAGCCATCATCTAAAGCACCGTTAGATTTTTTAATAGAGCTTATCTGTTTTGTTAACATTTGAAGGGGTAGACGTCTTTAACTTTCCCTACAGTAATCAACTACAAATCACATCTGTAATGGATTTAAACCGGTCTTGGATTAGTGTTATGTTCAAGAATATATGTTCGATTATGTCTAGGGTAATAGTTAAAGCTTTGTGAGTTCGGATCTCGGTTTGGACTTGTGACTGTAGGACGTCCGTGAGTCCGACCTGATTTACATTGAGAAAGTAAAGGCGGCTGGGCATAGTGCCTTCATATGCCTAGGTTAATAAACATGACCTCTACTTTACCTGCCTAATGGATCGTCTAAAGAAGAAAGTTACTGTCAATGGTCTAATTTATAGCTTTGGATAAGCCAATGTCTGAAGATATAACTAGGGTTAGTTCACTAAGTGGGTTTGTAGATTTATTCAACCATTCATAAAATAGCCAGGCTATATGTGAACCCTTTGAAATGGTGTCTCTTTCAAGTTTTAAATCTACATTGTGTTTGTGCGTTCTTTGTTGAACAGTAGCATATATTTAGTTGTCTCAGTGGGGAGGAGAATGGTAGGATAGGGTGTGTGTGGGGTATGGAATGGTGTGTAGATTTGCTCTACAAACCAGTCTAAATGTAGTGTGGGGGAGTGTAGGAGGGTGCAGGGAGTGTGTCAAACAGTAGTGATGGGGGACAGGGACGGGAGAGAGGTTTTACGTAGATATGCTCTACAACACATGTCCAACAGGGATCACCGTCTCTCCTTATTACCAGCTGCATGCTGGTGTGTAACACTAGATAGCTCATCTTGTTTGCTCAGCAAGTTGAATGCATCACACAACGTGAGAAACAAATGTCACCTAAGACCTGTCATTCGAATGCATCACACAACGTGAGAAACAAATGTCACCTAAGACCTGTCATTCAAATGCATCACACAAAGTGAGAAACAAATGTCACCTAAGACCTGTCATTCGAATGCATCACACAACGTGAGAAACAAATGTCACCTAAGACCTGTCATTCAAATGCATCACACAAAGTGAGAAACAAATGTCACCTAAGACCTGTCATTCGAATGCATCACACAACGTGAGAAACAAATGTCACCTAAGACCTGTCATTCTAATGCATCACACAACGTGAGAAACAAATGTTACCTAAGACCTGTCATTCGAATGCATCATACAACGTGAGAAACAAATGTCACCTCAGACATGTCATTTGGGTGACGACATATTTGTGAGAAAAAAGTTGGAGGTTTTATAGATGTGTACGTCGACTGGTTAGATGGACTGTAAACACGATGTCTTCATAGACTGGTTAGATGGACTGTAAACACGATGTCTTCATAGACTGGTTAGATGGACTGTAAATACGATGTCTTCATAGACTGGTTAGATGGACTGTAAACACGATGTCTCTATAGACTGGTTAAATGAACTGTTAACACGATGTCCTTATAGACTGGTTAGATGGACTGTAAATACGCTGTCTTCATAGACTGGTTACATGACAAATTAAACAAAACCTTATGAAAAATCCGATATCTAGATTTATTTTGCTTAACATTACTTACAGATTAACTTGATAACTTACTGCACATAAGATTTAATCAAATTTAAAGTTTTACTTTTATCAAATGACACTATATCTTTTATAATCAATACCTATCGAATTGAGATCTTCATTTCAGTGATTAAATAATAAAATGATTCAAGTTCTTACACACATGGTGTACTAACGTGTATAACATATGTTTGTATCGAATTTTAAAAGATTATTGTAAGTAGACTTATATAAATATAACAAATGTAAATATAAATCATCCAAAACAACCCGATATGTTTTACGTCAACAAAAACAATTTTAAACAAGATATTCAAATTAAAAATTAACCATCAAGAAAAATCTAAGTATTGTGTGTTTTGATGAAGCGATGATCTGTTACTGCCATAGCTTATTCCTGTAATTCGACAGTTAGATACATGTATAGTGATGTTTTTAACCATTTGTTGGTAATCTCACCTGCTCGAGTTTAGACAATTGTAATATTGTGAAATACATGTCAGTAGCTGATAAAATAAATAAATGCCATTTTTACACTGAGCAATTTGCAGTTACAGTATTAGATTTGGGCTAATTAAAATCTTTAAACAAACACCTTTTCTCTTATTTTGACCAATGTATTACATTTTTTGAAGTAAAAACTTCTTTGGAAGAGTAACTGGTATAAAATTAGAATAGTTACTTTCAGTCTCCCAGTACCTAATTGAATTTAAATACCCAGGGACTGTGTGTGTTTTCTTTTTATTTGGCGTATCTTCACTGGGTCGGCTGCCAAGAACTATCAGTTTATCATCGTAGTTGATGGCTCCGTACAATTTCTTTTGGTAGTTCCATAGTTTAAAAAGAAATTTTACTTCCATTTTTGAGAAAAAAGACGTTTTGTTAATGAACCACAAACTACCGTTAGCCTGTAAAATATAGGTGTGTTTGTCGTTCCTGAAAGTAATCAAGTGTTCTGCTGGTCCATCAAGATTGTCTAATTTAGTCCATGTTTTTGAAAAAATATCAATTTTATGAACGGCTGTTTCGGCTACACCGTTTTGATTTTCAGGGTAAAAAACTAAAAGAGAGTTTTCAAAAATCGTTGCATATTTAACATCCACATTTGCCGGAAAGTCGGTAAACTTTTGTAAATTCACTTTCTTTTTTCTTGGGCTGATGTTGTATATCATTTTATCTGCTTTGTTTAATACGTAAATAGACTGCCCATGTGAAACTAATAAAACATTACTACTGGGCATTTTGATAACTTCCTCCCAGCTGTTGTCACAAAAGACAAACATTTTACTGAGTCCATTTGGTTGGTGACGTTTTTTCCCTGTTGCATAAAGTTCGTTTTCAAAGGTCACGACCTGGATATCCTCTTGTAAAAAATCACACTTGGAAATATGGAACCGTTTTTTATCGAGTGCATTTAAAAATACAAACTCTCCGTGTCTTTTGGCTCCAAATCCACCTTGTGCGAACTCGCTGCAAGATCTGTGTACGGCGCCAGATGACCACTGACCATGCCTGAAATCTTGTACATGGTATGACAAAGCGTCAACAATGATGTTTCTAGAGGCAAAGTTTTCTGAGAATAATTTCGATTTCAAAGCACGGGATAAGAAGGTAGGATTCACCAGACATGTCCTTACCAACTTCAGCAATGACGTAAGTTTATCTTTTCTAGAATTATTCTTCTTTACTGCAACATCATTGGATGAACTTTCATCATTGTTGAGTATCTCAACGTCAGAGTCTAATCCATTGTAGGTTTCTTGATTTAGATTTTGGGCATTTTCGTTAATTTCGCTCTGGTACGTATCAATTTCACTTATCAAGTTGGAATTGTCAATCGTAGTTTTAGACTCAATAGATAAATCCACGTATTGATTAGTGCCATCGATACGTGCGTGGTCTACCCACTTGATTACAGCATCAAAAACTACATCCTCACTTCTAACAACAAGTGCTTGGTTTTTGACCAAATTACGAACTTCAGTGTAAGACAGTTGAAGGAATGTTAACGACAGACTAATTTGGTCAAAATTATTCAACATGAATGTAAACATCTTGTTTAGAACTCTTTCTGAACCCAAAATACTTGCATTAGTGTAAATTTTCTCCCAAGTATCCATTGCTATTAATTCAATTGCAAAGTTTTCACACAGATTGACCATGAATGTAATCTGCAGCTGATGAACCGCTCGCCATACTTCAAAAAGATTTTCTGAATTTAAAATATTTTCACCTGTGTATATTGTTTTTAAAATTAACTGAAAAACGTCGCAGGAGACATCTTGTAGAACAACACAGTTCTCTGTGACTTCCCTCATACCAGAACGGAAAAGTCCGCGAAAAAAATCCGAACAGCCCGCTAGGATGACTCGATGACATTCGATTGTTACGTCGGTGATCTTGACACGAAAGTCAAAGAACATTTTGTCATTCCACACATTCTCCAGACACTTGACGATCTGAGTACAGATGTTTGGTGGGTTCATGGTGTCAGTTAATCTGTAACAAATTATCAAGGAGTCAGTTAATCTGTAACAAATGATCAAAGAGTCAGCAAATCTGTAACAATTAAGGATAATAGAGTCAGCCAATCGGTAACAAATGATCCTAGAGTCAGCCAATCTGTAACAAATTATCAAAGAGTCAGCTAATCTGTAACAATTAATGATAATAGAGTCAGCCAATATGTAACAAATGATCATCGAGTCAGCCAATATGTAACAAATGATTATAGAGTCATCCAATCAGTAACAAATGATCAAAGAGTTAGCCAATCGGTAACAAATGACCATAGAGTCAGCTAATCTGTAACAAATGATCAAAGCAAAGAGTCAGCCAATCTGTAACAAATAATCAACGAGTCAGTCAATCTGTAACAAATGATCATAGAGTCATCCAATCAGTAACAAATGATCATAGAGTCATCCAATCAGTAACAAATGATCAAAGAGTCAGCCAATCTGTAACAAATGATCAAAGAGTCAGCCAATCTGTAACAAATTATCAAAGATTCAGCAAATCTGTAGCAAATCATCATAGAATTAGCCAATATATAACATATGATAATAGAGTCCGGCAATATGTGGTAAATTTTTTTAATAAAAAATACACAACCCTGACATTAATGATCTGTGCATTAATTTTAAATCTGTCTTTAATACTTTAATACTAATATTTGTTTCTTGTAAACATTACTTCTTAAGTAATTACAAAGTTCTTAATGTTTTCTTTTGTTCATACTAAAAATGCAGTAAAATGATTTAAACATAATTTTTATCTATACCCTGAAACGTTCAAACAATGTAGCTGAGTTTTTTTTTCAACCAATAATGTGGGAGCACTTGAAATTTTTGGGAGGGGGGGGGGGGCGGTAGACTATCTTGGGGGGGGGGAGAAATGCCTGTAAAAAACTCATTAAAAACGTTCTGGTCTATAGTTTAAAGAAACCTCAAAATTAAGTGTTGTATTTTTTTTTACAAAAATTCTATATTTTTTTTTTACCAATGTAAAGTATTTTGTAAGAGTTTTATTTTTTTCAAAATTTAGCTTTGTCAGTTATTATTTTTTACGGTTAGAATTATTAAGCTTTATCTAGTATTAAATAGATTAATACATAATATGATCAACGTAATTTGTCCATAACCTATAGCAGAACACCCATGTATCTGGTAATATGCATCGACTTTTTTTGTAAGCCCAAGTAAATATGTTGTATATTAAATATTTATTGATCCTAGGCCTCACCAGATTAACCCGGCTGTTCTATGACAATAGTTTACAGAATTGAATATTGTTGAGATCGGGTGAAATTGTAATGGAGTCTAATTTGAAGAGCTCAGTCATGCATGGGCTAGTGTAATCCAGATTTGTTGTTGTAAACAGCTATATTATTTTTTTCAGAAGAACTAGACTCATGTGATTCATTAAATAACACCAGCGCTTAATAACTCTGGATTAACTCTTGTTTATTTGGCCTTTATTGCATTGAAAGATGCTTAGATTAAGACGGTTCAAAGAGTAGCTTTAAATTACTCTACTTACAGTCTAGTTTTTATTGGGAGAATGATTTTTAAGCGGGCGTTTTCAATGCTGTTTTTTTTCCAAATGCCACTAACTAAACCGCTGTAATATCCCTATTTCTTTTTAAACAATATTTTAAAATCGGACACTCAATCCTGTCTGACCAACTGGCCCTTACATTAACAATAGGGCTGGTAAGTCGGTCACCAACCAGTTCTATGGTTTATGCAGGTTTTATTGAGCTGTAGAACTGATTGGTGACCTACTTTCCAGCCCTATAACCATCTACATAAAATGTTATATTAACTTGAATACCGATATGTGGTATACAGTATCTTGCATATATTTTGCTCTTGAGTATAACTGAACCAATTTCTTCTACCTCTACCTCGGTTGAAACACCATGTTAATTACAAGACCAAACAAAATACCAAAGCGTTAATTTCTGAACTACGATTAAGCTATGGTAAAGCTCTATAACTTAAGACTTTGATAATTTAAATAAACTACCACAACCCTAAAAACTGATATTTGGTATTTGTCAGTTCATTTTGTCCGCATTCTCATCGCCAGTATCTTAAGGATCTATTGTAACACTAACTATGCCTTAGTCTTAAACCTTTCTCTAGACCACGCATTTTATGATTGACAATGTTAGAATGTCGTTCGAATCCACAGAGTATCAACAATGTATAGCACCCAAATATTTCCCTAACGATATCCTTAAACCAAACTATAAACCAAAACAAACTCTAACCATTGAATCTTTTTCCCGTTCGTGCCCAAGACACATTGGGAAGATGAAACATAGTTCATCTATTTCAGTGACCTTGGCATTGCGGTCAGCACTTTGTTTCACTAATTTGTACTCTGGGACGGCCTAGAGATCTCAAGTCGGGATCCGAACTCGAGACTTTGGGGTTTGCTGTCGTAAGCTCTACCATTCGACCACATCGACCCTGATCAAACAATAGTTTTTATGAATTAAAGTATAATTTTGTCAGTTAGGGGTTATATAAAAATGAATGCTGTCTAAAACTGCCTACCTAAACACTAGTTTAAACACGAAACCTAATAAAGATCCTAACTTTAAAAGTAAACCAACATCAACACCGACATAAAACGTCAAAACTCTCCTCTTTACTCTTATACCAGCTTCTCGCGTAATTATTTAAAGTACCTTCATTAATAATTTGGATTATATGATGTAACTTTAAAAGTTGTAGATCTAGATCTAGTTGTTTACAAGGTCTGGAGTAAAAAATATAATAATGTTGATTGCAAACATGCGTGCTTCAATGGTGCGACACACATTAATACATCTAATATTGGAATTAAACAAAGTGCGCAAAAGTTTGAGGTTTTCTGAAAACACTATCAAGACGTACTAGACGACTCAGTTTAGTGTTGGAAAACAGTCTGTCGGCTGCACTACATAACACATACTGATATTCCATTGCACCCACCCCCACCTTTTATAAAGCTTTTTATCCCCAAATTTAGACCCGAAGACCCGCCACAACCCTTTAGGATATTCCAGTGGCGTAGAAAGGTCGGGTGTCACCCGGTGCAGCAGCCAGTTGTGTCACCCCCTCACCCCAGACGTGGATTGAATATAAAATCATTATGATTTTTCAATAAAACCTTTTTCCTCTGGCAAATTTTGCAACATTTAGTTGATGTAGCCCCCCCCCCCACCGATGATAGCGTTAAACTATGCTCAGATTATACTAACGATGTTTATCTATAGTAGGTTATACAGCTTAATGTAGCTGGTTTACGTCATGGTGTCGTCGTTCCCCCCACCCTTGTCGGGACTTGTCAACATTACTCTTAAAAGTTTATTTAATTCTAATTAATCAATTATTTAACCGGAATAATAATTTGTTTCTGTATATATTTTGCTAACTTTTGCCTTTGTGACACCTCCCTATATGGTGTCACCTGGTACGGTCGGCCCCCACCCCCCGCTCGTAACGCCTCTGTGATATCCATTTTCTGACGTCCATGCGGGGTAGGAGGAGGGTGTCATAGTAAAGTAAAGCTTTGTGGACGCTTGCAGGGTGGGGGGGGGGAGGTAGGCTGGCTTAGCGGTAACTTTCATCATATAACATTCGCATACTAATACGGTGATAACAATCAATATGGTTACAGGATAAATGATCATAGACAAAATATCGCAGACAAAATATCTCACGGACAAATTATCTCAGGACAAATGATCTCAGGACAAATGATCTCACGGACAAAAGATATGAGGAAAAACATATCAGGACAAATGATATCATGGACAAATAATCTCAGACAAAATATCTCATAGCAATTTATATTAGTGTATGGTCATCAAATCCAATTTAAGACCAATTCAAGTTACTCTATCGTAAACAACTTGTACAAGAAATGCGACGAAACACGAATTCCCTCCACTTATATTTTGCTGTAACTAAATATTTTTTTTTTTAAGTTACGCATTTAAAAATTTACAGATTTGAACGTTTTTGTCGCACCGAAACGCACGTAGATCTAGATGTAAACCAATATAAAAAACATTTCTTTACTTCCGGCTTTAATGGTTTTAAGATACTCATTACCATTTGACAGGTAAAAAAGAAGGTATATTTTAAAATTCCGCAAGAACATCAATATAAATAGTGGTAAGGTTTAGACCCTAGATAAACTTTCGGTAATCCCTTAGTTTAGCGTCGGTTATTATTCCGGAATCGTATAGCAGTAAAAAACAGTAAAACAATAACAAAGTCTGTCACACACTTCCGGAATTCACCGGAAGTACCGTAAACCATACTTTATTTGGCGTCTTCTTTTATTTTTAAACAGAATGTTTAAAATTTGGATAGATTTAATTTTGTAATCATTTTTACATTTTGTAATCATTTTTACTATTTTCGTAATCTAGATTTTTTTACTTCGCCTAGCAGCTAGATATCTAGCTAGATCTAGATTTAATTAATTAATGGTCGCAAATCCGCTGCAAGCCAAAAACATTAAATTATTACATTTGATACATTATTTATATTTATATATGTTTTTATTTTTAGATCTACTAATTTAAATCTACTATTATATTTATTCTTGTTTCCTTTTGTCGATTAAACTTAAAAAATTAAAACATTAATTTACTACAATCGACTTTCAATTTATTTATATTTCAATGGTCAAATAAACCATGGTTTACCGTAACTCTAATTACCGAAACTCAACAAACATTACCCAATAATTTCCGACGCTAAACTAAGGGATTACCAAACTTTCAAATAATCGACTCCCGTCTGGCTATAGTGCTCTATATTTACAACAAATATATATATATAAAAACGTTATTCATTTACTATTGAATAGCTTGGGGTGTCAACAACAGTGAAACAATGTATCTAGATCTTGTGACCTACTTAGGTCGAGTCATTTTTATTTTGACATTGTATAATTCCTTATATGGAATGATGGTGTAACACCTGGGGTTTTTCCACTGACTTATTAAGGTGTTTGAGACATAGAAATTTTCCATTAAAATCTGATTGAATGATTCTGATCAGATGATTATCCCAACCAATGGCGACATGAGTTGAGGATAACCTCCCCTGTCACAGAAGTCTTTAATTGCACTGCACACTCGCAACACGAGGCAGTTTATCTTGACCTGGCAGTCTACGAGGCAGTTTTACCTTGATCAGGCAGCCGTCCATATTGTCCGGCTATAGACTCTGACCATTTGAACGTGAGAGTACTTAAGACCTGTGTGTGCCTTGCTTTCTTAAGTTGATTTAGTCTTCTAGTTTAATATTACTTGTCGCTAAGTAATTCCTGAAGCTACAGCAGTGTTGTGTGGCCTGTGGCTATTGTTAGACAGTGTAGAAATCTGTGATAGTGTTTTTTCCTACATTGTGTAAGTTGGGTTTTTGATATTTTATACATTAAATATTTTATCTAGTTCATCCTTGTGTTCTGCCACAACTGTGTTCGCTGATTAAAAGGTCGTATGTAGATTGGATGAGTGTTAATTACAATAGTATCACTAGCTTCCCTAGACATTAAATTCGAGCCCTAGTGTGTCGTTGTGTTAAGTGTTCATCCACTTAGGCCGTAAGGCATTTGCATATGACCCCGAAAAAAGAATCCGGGGACGTTCTCCTTCTATTTGGCTGATAGATAGGTTAACGTTACAAAGTGGGGGCTCGTCCGGGATTTAATCTGTCGTTCCAGTTGTTGGTTATATCAGTTGAATACTAAGGTTAGTTGGATTTAGTTGTTTTTATATCCAGTAGCGCAGTGTTCTTACAACGCGCGCTCAGGCTAGAGTATCTAGGTCAAATAAGCAGACGTGTCACGTCCTACATTTAGAGGACAAGTACACGGCCCAACGCTGTGTATTAATTTAAAGGATCTAGGCTTGTTGTGATTTTCAAGTTAGTGTTATGGAGTCTTTTTTGGCTAATCCTACTGTTGAAGATGTAGAAAAGTTGAGTAGAAAAGTTTTGGTTAGTGTTGTTAAGGAATTGAAATTGGATTATTCTGTTACGCAGAAGTCAGAAGTGTTGAGAGATAAAATTGTTGTTCATTTCATTAATGAAGGAGTATTTGATGAAAGTTTGTTGGCTGGTGTGTTGCTCCGCGAGGAGAAAACTCTAGAGAAGGTAGAATTAGAAGCTAGAATTGCTTTAGAGAAGGAGAAAGTTGCTCTAGAGAGACAGGAGTTAGAGGCTAAAATTGCTTTAGACAAGAGGAGGTTGGAATTAGAGTTTGGTCAAGTTAGTGATGTTACTTCTCTGGTAGATCCAAAAAAGTTGTCGGTAGGGCAAGTGATTGCCAAATTTGGGAAATTAGTTCCTAAATTTGATGAAACAGATTTGGTCGTTTTCTTTAACTCGTTTGAGAGTTTAGCGAAGACATGTGAATGGCCCGAAACTTCCATTACTGCTTTATTGAGCTCTGTCCTTACTGGGAAAGCTGCAAAAACATACCAGGCACTCTCTCACGACGTTCAAAATAACTATAGTTTGGTCAAGACTGCCATTTTAAAGGCCTACGCACTGACGCCCGAGGCCTATCGGACAAAATTCCGAACACTCCGCAAGTTACCCACACAATCATATGTGGAATTTCTCTTTGAAAAGGAGAAAATATTCTCAAGGTGGCTACACTCTGAGGAAGTTTCTGAGTTTGAGAAACTCAGGTCACTTATCCTAAGGGAAGAATTCCTATCGTCCCTGCCTGAAGAGATACGACTACACATTCTGGATAACAAGATAACTGACATCCAGAAGGCTGCTGAGTCGGCTGACACATATATGTTGGTGCATAAGAAACCACCAGTGTCAGGAAACCGCCTCAACCCCGTGCTTCCCCTTTTTGGCAGCAATCCTTCTGTTGGCCAACATTTGAAGGCATCACAGTCCAGAGAGAAACCAAGATCAACTCTCAATCGTCGAGCAGTATGCCAGTTCTGCAAAAGGCCTGGTCACCATGTCAAGGACTGTTACAAACGTCTTCAGAATAACAGAGAGGTGGTGCGTACTTCTGCGCACTATGCTCTGTCCCCTCAAGCAGCCAGTTCAACTATGAACTCTAGAATTCTAAAGGACTCTAACCCTAAGTGTCCGCAAGAAGGTAGTCAAGTCTCCACACATTATGTGCAGTCACATTTTGACTGTTCTCGCCACCATCCAGTTTCTTCCGAGTCTACCGATCTCGAGGGATCGAGAAAAGTTGACTTTTCATCTTTTATTGCCGAAGCCATCATTAGCAAACCAGGTGATCCGTTGTCTCAGAAGAATATCACTGTTCTAAGAGACACAGGAGCGTCACAATCACTCCTTTTGAAAAGTTCAATGGACATTTCACCTGAGACGAACACCGGAAGGATTTCCATTATCCAGGGAGTGGGGACAAAATCTACTGTCGTCCCTCTACACCAGTTTGCCTTGAAACATCATCTCGTCGAAGGTGAAGTCATTTTAGGTGTGATAGATAGTATTCCAGTCCCAGGAGTACACCTACTTCTAGGGAATGACCTTGCGGGAAGCAAAGTATACCCCTGTACGGTTTCAGACCCTTTGTCAACAGTTCCAGATAATGATTATGAACTGTATCCTGCATGTGCGGTGATAAGAAGCCAGACCAAACAATTGGCTGACACAACGTCTGAACCACATCTACCATCATCGTCAAGAAATTCGACTCCCAAACTAGAGTCTATGCTTCCAGAAAACACAAGTCTGGGCTTACCCCTGAGGATATCTCAGGAAGACATCATTAAAGC